GAGAGAGAGAGAGAGAGAGAGAGAGAGAGAGAGAGAGAACACACCATGTTGGTGACAGCAAAATAGAAACAGAGATTCACTGGAAATGTGTCTGCTTCTGGATTTCACTGTATACTGCAGACCGACTACGAAAACATGAAAACTGAGGGGGTGGACCTGAACTTGTCTTACATCTCTACGCTTACACGGTTTGCTGAGACATCGAACTGCATGTTCTGGATAAGAGGAGCACACAGAGTTTGACACGTGATCAGTCCCAGAACGTTGGCCAGGTAAGAAGAATAAAACATGAATAAATATGTGGATGTGTGACTGAACCTCTGCAGCTTATTTTGAGGTGGACTTCATTTTCCACCGTTACTCATCAACACGCTCCGGCTGAAATCTATCTCAGGACAAAATATGAAAGTTTATATCTCAGTGTTTGTGTCTCTACTGTAATATTATTCTGTTTGCCTACAAACATATATGTTAGTGCTGTGCTAGTACAGATGCATTATGCTATGTTCAAACACATTTACACAGAGTACTATACGTGTGAGTAGAAGGTATCACTGTACAACTTTAATGTTTGTGGTATGTGCATCCTTACCCATTTAATGTCTTTTGACCTGTGATATTGTTCGTGTGTATTTACACACGCCTGTGTGTCTTTTCGTGTGTTTAGTGTCTATTCGTGTGGTGTGTGCTTGAGTGTGTGTGTGTGTGTGTGTGTTATGTGATGGCCAGTCTTTTGCTGTGCTCTCAGGTGTGTGTTGATGCAGGAGTGTTAGTGATGCATGTGAATGTGGGAGAAAAATGCAGACAAACGGGTTCAGTGACATCTATTCTTTCTGAAGTGTAAAGGCCAATCTCTCTGTGTGTGTGTGTGTGTGTGTGTCACACCGAGAGTACACTATAACAAGAATCTTTCCATGATCTGAGAGGCGTGGATGACTGCATTGTTACCATATGAAGCAAGTCACAAACACACTGTGTACGTACAGCGTAACATACATTTGTCATAAACAAGCATTATTTAAATGACAACAGATAAGCTGCTCGGAGATGAAGTCACGTTTTCAATAAACCCTTTTTCACCACGAAGAAACAGGACAGTGTGAGGCGACCACGTAACACAACATATTAGGAAATCACAGAAAAACACCAAAAAGCTGTGTATTTAATACACAGCTTGAGTTTATAAATGATTTAAAATTGATATCGAAACCAAAAGAAGAGAGCTGGCTGATTTAACAAGGAGGCTGCCTGAGTTTCTCACCTGTGGTTAAACAGTGTTTATTTTGTTTCCTAATGTGACGCAGCATTTAGATATTTGTCCAGGTTGATAACACTTAACACTGGTTCTTCTTCAGCAGCTGTGTATCAGACCTATCTGAGTCCCTGGTGAGCACTATGATGATAGTGAGCGACAGGTGAGGCGATAGAAAGGAGGCTACCTGTTGCATTACTGTCGGCCTGAGGCTGATGTGAACACCTGAAGCTCAGAGTTTTGATTCCCCGGTCGGACAGACGGAGCTCACTGTTAACTACATTTGTTAAACAAAGTAGACGGAGAGGACGACCGAATACGTGGCTCTACTCGGACATAGTGGTTTCCAGGGCATCCTCACACGCAGACACCTTCCCATTCAGCACGCTCTCTCTGCTGGAACTTCATGTTCTCCATCAGTTGTGTTTTACAGGGAGAGTTTGGGTGTTTTTAAGTGAGGTTGTATGATGTACTTATCTATAGTCAGTGTATGAACGACCTACAGTGGATGACGGTCGACATGCCCCTGGTGTGGAGGAACAGACAGAAGTACCAGCAGAAGGAGCAAAACAATGCAAAACAATGTAATGCTTTACATTGCACCTAAAAACAATACTAATACTTTGCCGTCAGACAGGTTGATCCGGACTAAACCTTTAAAACACCACAGTCACATAGTAAGACAAACAATATAACTAGAGGCAGCAGCAGACCAGCAACCTCTGGGTTCTGCGAGGTGAAATGATTATCTTTGTCAAAGGAGTCTGGTGGCTTTGAAGAGAGCAAAGATAAAGGCTTCAGTTCCCCGGCTGTCTGGCGGTGAGGTAGAGCAGTGAAAACATTGTAAATACAAAGTACACTTCAAATGATATTGTTTTTAAGTGGCTACAATACGTTTTGCTGCTGTTCCCCTTTTACAATAGTGCATTTAATTAGTTTCCGTGTCAGTACTCCATGTCCATTTCCCTAAACTGGGGTGTGCCAACCGCCATCCACTGCAGGTGATATACCAACTACAGATAAGTAACTCATACAACCCCTTTAATGTAATTCAGCTTCCCTTCGTATCACTGTATCCAGACACTGAGCTTGATTTATATATTATGAGACGATCCTAGACTCTGTCTGTAGCTCACAACAACAACGTTTTACTGACAAACAAACAACTCGACTGACGCGAGACCTCGACAGTTCTAGGAAAGCGTGAACACAAAATATCTGTCTGGTATATCATGTGTGTGTGACTTGAGAAGTTTAACGGGCTCCTGAATGACAGGTTATCCTTTCATGGCTTTTATGGATTTTGGGTGAGTGCTGAGCAATGGTAACGCTGATCTCTGCTGCTTCTATTATCTACGTAACTGATATCTGTTTAACGATACACATAGAAATCAAGTCCTCCAGCACTGCTTTTTATATTTGCTGCGCGCGTCCAGATAAAAAAAGGTCACAGTTCATATTTGCTATGCAAGTAAAAAAAAAGGCTACTGTAAATATTTACATCTTTCTGACATATCCTTCTGGACGTTTACTGAACGTCACCGATAGCTCTTAACGCACAGTTAAAATCTACTACTGTATATATATATATATATATATATGGAGTTATTAGAGGCTAAGCTCAGAGGATTTCGGTTGGCTGCTGAGCAGAGGTAACGCTGATCTGTGCTCCTCTCTTCCTCTCCAGCATGTCATCCGACTCCCCGGCCGATGATCTGTGTGCACCGGACGACCACCTCTGCAGTAAGAACACCGCTGCTGCTCTTCATCTACACGTCCTCCCTTCCTGTCCTCCCTCCTCGACCCGTCTCCTCTCATGTCTCCTGTGTCTTTGAAGTACATGCATGTCCTCTGTATTTAACCCATCCTAAGTGTTTAGGAGCACAAGGGGAAGCTAATATTTCACATCTATACTTTATATTCTACTCCTCTACCGTCACCCTTCACTCCTTCACTCCCACAGATTCCTTCCTCTTCTGTGGCCTTTTGCTCAGTCGTACTTCATCCTTCCTCTCCTCACATCAGTCTTATCTCTTCGTTTACCGTCTCACCACTTTCATTTCCTGGCTTTTGCATTTCACCTTTGGTTATTTATCTTTTCAAACATTGAATTTTCGGTTCACCGAGTTCCTGTGTATGTTCATTCAAATGAACACCAGCAGCTTTCTTTATTTCGGCTGTAGACCGAGTACATCAGCAGACAACAGACAAGCGGCGAATGCTTGTGACGAGGTCACATGACCTACATGATCCTGGTAACCAATCAGCAAACGTAATGCTTGGCTCAAATGAACTCTTTAACCCAGACGATGCATTAGTATCAAACAACCATCAAGTACATCATTATTTCTGCATTTCATTAACTGTGAAACTGTTACGTTGCAACATCCAGAAACCAGATAAGGTCACATGACATGCTGGCTCTCCACGAGATGTGCGATTGCACAATCAGATGGCGTAATATCTGCTGACTCACAGATACGTCTGTGAAGTCTTTGTGATCACACACGTAAGTAATATGTTATCGAGACGAAGCATTTCAACAACCATATCAGGGACGTTCAAACTTCGTTACAACACAAGATACATGGAATTATGAGTCTTGTGTTGAGTTGTAACACTTTGAGTTTTTTGCAGCAAGAAAAGTTGTTGTTGATGATAGCGAGTTCAGGTTTATAATGGGCACGCTGGATGTCTTAGGGTAACACACACGTCGTTGAGTTTAACCAGCCTAAATGTTGGACTTGTATCGAGTCTTTGTAGAGGAGAGGTGTTGACATTTCAATCTCAAACAGAGCCTTTGTGGAGAATGACAAGAAATGATTGCTGGGCCTTCGTCAAATACCTCACCACACCTACGATTCACAGCCAGAACACGGTGTTTACACGCACCAGAGGCTTTACATTCCAGTTTCTTCTTCCTAACATTGGATTCAATGTGTAAGATGATGGGTTCCATGGCTCTCGCTACAGCGTATGCATTGTCGTAATGTTATATAAAGGGTGTGTTGGTCGACACACAGAGTTTGGTAATAACAGGGTAGTCAGTGAAGGTCAATATGAAGGATCGGCACACGTTTATGTATTTCCTGTTAGGCAGAGCTATTCAAAAGATGCGGTTGAGTGGCGCATCACGCCTGTGATCAATGACTCAGCACTGTCTGAATCTCCATGAATGACTCATCCTGGCACTCAGAGCCAGTTCCACGGCCTAATTACAGCCTAATTGTGTTACGTCGGTAAAGCAGCAGGACAACAGTTTCACTAGCAGCCAAGTCAGGCAGAGGCCGAGAGCAACACAACAGGAGGTTGTGATGAATGCTATCCACATGTCACATCACGATGACAGAAAAGCTCAACAATAAAGACCCCAAAAAAAGAAAACAGTATTAAAGAACTAGCTGTGTGTCCGGAATTATGGTTAAGCTATAACTGAACAGCGTGAGTTCCTGAGTTTCTCTACACTTGAGCGGTGCAACCTTTTAACAGCCAACGTATTCATCCTGTCAAAGTACCACAAGCAGAAGACTGAAAGCAAACCTAGACAAACTTACGCACAGTGTTATTATTCGTTTGTGTTTGTTTATGAACATCCGTCTGAGACACAAATGCATGCATGCGTGCTGTCCTAAAGTCTTAAAAAATGCATTTTTTTAAGCCTTCTCTTGCCTCTCTTGTGCCCGACGTTTACACATGAACATCTTTCGTTCTCTCTTAGTTGTATTAAATCATTTGCAAGCCGTGATCATCGTCCCCACGCTCCTCCTCCTGGGGACCCTGGTCACCCTGCTGGCGCTGTGCATATTGAGGTTTTATCCTGAACAGAAGCGGACACAGGTCGCAGCCCCTCAACACTACCACAGCTCATCACACAGACACAAACAAAGGAACAGACAACACCTACAGGGAATTGATGGTGAGCAGCATGCACAAGTCCCTGTGTCATTCCTACTCTTGTTGTATTTTCATTTTAACTCAATTTGCCAAAGGACTACACTCAGATGTATTACTCTCTACTCTCTAAATAGCACCCCCAGGGATAAACCCGCTGGAACACGAAGAGCTGCCAATGTCAGTTCAACAAGTGCAGCAGACTGTGGTGCCAACTCTGGCTGCAGTACCCCATGTGTCCACAGAGAGGCTGCATGGAGCCTTCAGCCAGGTCACTGCCCTGCCACTGTCCTTCTCCATGAAGCCAGATGACTCAGTCAGCCACTACAGAGGCCGCATGGACAACAGGGACGTCGTCCTGAGGCTGCTGAAAGGTAAAGTGAGATGTGCAAAGACAAACCTCAAAGAGGTCTTACTGCACGGCTGCTGAAGGAGAGCAGAGGAATGTCTGGTTCTGCTCTCTTCTCATTAAGTGGGAGAAACGAGGAACGGTCTGATCACTGGTTTACAGAGTTTTGTACTTTCTTATGTGCTCGGTTTTGAGCTTCATATCAGAACTTCACCAGTCTCAAGCACGATCAAATGGAGTGACTATCCACTTTAAAAAAGATTGATGGCACAGAAGCCTTGTTCTTTTTGTGACTTATCAAATAAAAAGCGTAAACTAATGCAGTACGGTTACCGTGTAAATGTGAAGTCAAGATGTTATTCTGTCCTCTCTCCCTCAGAAAGGGCAAACAGCAGTGAGAAGCAGCACTTTTTGGGGTTTGCTTCCTTCGTGTCAGGACTGGGGCCCCACCCCTTCCTACCTGAGCTGCTGGGTGTGGTTTCAGTGCAGTCGCCCCTCATGATGGTTGTGGAGGAGCTGCAGCACAGAGACCTGCTGGGGTACCTGTGGAGATGTCGACAGGTACAGTTATCTGTTAACTACCCAAAACAAGGATGACAGCTTAGTCAGAGCCAGGTTCACACTGTGGTTTGCATCACAAACTGCAGCATTTAAAACCTTTATTGCCATCTGTGACTGACACTATGAAGGTTTGAACATCTAACAGGGAGGGAAACAAAGAGGTGTCTGTAAACCCTTATCCATGGAAAACAAAATATCAATGGGACAGAAGTGGACAATATGATATTCTTCACGTTATTTCAAACAATAGGATCATTATTTGGTTAACTCTAAATCCTGGTCCATGGCTGTTAAGACAGTGACTTTTAACATACAGCGGAGTTAAAGTAAGTACTGCTCTTGGCCTCTGTGAGGCAGTGTGGGGCAATATATCCGGCTAATACTGGAAGGGAGAGACACCAGTATCCATAGTTTCTCGACGGTGGTACAGTATGTTCACCTACTTCTATGACGCAGACATACAAGCCTGACAACACATATGGTCGGGTGTGATAACGGATTATGAATGCAGACAAGGAGAGAGGTTTATCAGGTTACATAAAAGGCGACTATCAAACCATAAGGAGACTGATTACATGTTGTATGGTTCCCTTTTCTTCCTCCTCCTCCTCCTCCTTTTAGGATAACTCCAGTTTAGAGTCTTCATGTGACATGACAGAGAAGAGGATCTTCACCATGGCAGGACAAGTGGCCTCTGCTCTGGTTGGTTGAACTGCTGTCTGTCTGTCTGTCTGTCTGTCTCACTGCTTTGTGCACCAAAACACTGTATTTTTTAAGAATCATTTGTTAGAGAGACCACATTCATATTGAGTCTCCCTGCTCATCTCCCAGTCTGTCCATATCCGAACTTGTCATGACTTGGTGGCAAACAAGTCTCTCAGTTCCTGCCTGATAAATGACAAAGCATAAAGTCTGAATACTATCTTCACACTTCAGGTTATGTTGTTATGATGCCAGGTTCAATAAAAGTACAAATACAGTATTAACCATTCTAAATGTGGGTGTTACGTCTGGTTGATGTTCATATCTTTTATGTTTTAGTATCCTTAAAGTGCAGACTTTTAAAGTTTACAGCATCCCTCTTATTGCCCCGTCTTTATCTGAACATCTTCCAGGCGTACCTGCACACTCAGGGCTGCATCCACGGCAACGTGGGAGCTCGCAGTGTTCTGGTTGGCGGAGATCTGACGGCGAAGCTGTGGGGCTTAGGCTCGGCCTACCGCAGGACAACACGGGCCGCTTCACCGGGGGAAGTAGAGGACAAGGAGACGAGGAAGTGGCAGGCGCCGGAAGTGTTGAGCAGAGGAGGCATCATTCAGAGTAGTGACGTGTGAGTGTCGGAGTCCTCTGTGAGAATAACAAATAATGCAAAGAAGACGACTGAATATAAAGCTTTCATTGAAATGTCCCAGCCATAGTTGCATATTGTAGGTTTATTATTTACCCACCAGGTTGTTGAATTACTAATCTATTTGAATATCTTTGAAATGTATAGCGTGTTTCACCACCGTGCACAATTAAGATAAAACAAGTTGTGTTTGAAATGCATGTAAATGTTGATTCCAGTGTCTTTACCCGCAACGCATTTCTATGTGAATTTGCACCTAAACAATGTATATTTAGTTTATATATATAGTTTAACCAGAGTATGAGATCCTATCCCTTTACCCATAATGCTCCTCTCTGTTTGACAGATGGTCCTTCGGTCTCCTGCTCTATGAAATGGTCACATTGGGTGGGTGTTATCAAATATTAAATACACCCCCAAGAGAAGTTGTTTATTGTATGAATCATAGAATATGATTGCATGTTTTAATAAAATGTTGGAATTGATTAAAATTACCTGCAAAGAACAAATATAAACACGCTTTGATACAACAGTATAGTATAGTGTATAATATACAACTAATTATTAAGAAATTCATATTCACGTAAAGGGGCTTTAATCTCATATTTAATACTCATGTATGCAGGTGACCCACCGTTTGCAGAGATCTCGTCGACTGAACTTCTGCAGCATCTACAGAGAGGAAAGCATCTCAAACGGCCCAGCGGCTGCTCCACCTCACTGTAAGACGAGCAGCAGGACTCCGCTTTCACAGCGCTGTAGAGAACCCGCTGGAACGTGCACGAGTCTTTATCAGCCGCACAGCATGTAGTGCACCAGCAGTAACGCCTCACATCGGAAAACAAGTCAGAAAATGATGTTTTAAGTAGTGGAGATAGGAGGAATATCTCACTCCCACCCTAGGCTGCTAAATATCAATATACATTTTAATTGTACATTGTTCTGCAGGTACTCAATCATCAGGGCCTGCTGCCAATGGCGCCCCCAGCAACGCGTCTCCATGTCGGAGCTCATTAGAACACTTCAGGAGGCAGAGAGATCAGCCAATGGGAGCAAAGTTCTCAGGGTGTCTGGACCGCTGGACATCGAGAAATACATGAAGGAGGCGGAATATGGAGAGCTTTACAACTACGCTGTGCTCTGATTGGCTGAGACCGCCATCAGTCAGGACCGCTGCTCTGGTGCTGTCGCAACATTTGAGGACTGCTGCAAGAATGAAGAATTCAAATGAAATGGAACGTTATGCACATCGTTTATGAAACAACTTTAGTTTTATACTTCTTTGTACTGTTGAAACACTTTGTTCTTCACACTGTATGTTTGGAAAGTAATATATGGGTGATAAATATTTATTTTTCTGTAGACTATAGCCACGGTCATCTAAAAGACTTAGCTGCACTTTTTACCTGTAAAGGAAGCGTTATGTGATATATGTACGAAGTTTTCCAGATGCAATACAGCAGAGGACAAGAGGTGCACTTGACGGTGTGAAGGGACCAGAATCCTGCACAGCAGAACCACCGCTGCTTCCTTCCCACATCTTCCATGTGGACCACCACATGATGAGGATGCAGACTCATCCTGAGAACTCAGAGCTTTAACCGCAGCTTGTTGAGTCTTTACGACACAGTGTGATACTACACATTCAAATGCACGACACCCTTTTGCAGGGTTATTTATAATTAAACAACTTAGTCAGAAAAGAACAAAATGTCAGGTGGAACCAGAGTTTGACAAAGTCGATAATTGGGTCGATAAGTGAATTATCGACCCAAACTTAGCCCCAACCGTAGCAGAGTGCCTCAGCCCAACAGCATCTTCACAAGGACTGAAGTTATGACATCTGGCCTTAAATTCAAAGATTGAAAACCTGCAGCAACGGTTGCAAATAGTCAACTTTAAGCATCGCAATGCTGAAACCTGCCGTTTACTAAAACCTGCCCGCCTTACAAACCTGTAATGATCCGTTCTTGCACTCAGACCAGGATGCTAAAGGCACACACTCACAGCAATCCATGCACATGTTAAAATAACAACATGACACAAGAGTGACGCATCCCTCGTAGGTCAGTTTAGTTCCACCTCAAAAAGATAAAAACAGTTTTAAAACAGTTCCTTGATTATTTATTTGCATGATAGCATCGTTAGCGCCTCCTCGTCAAACTCAGTCCCTCCAACATTTAGCAGTTTTTTCAGATTATTGCGAGCAAAACACATTCTGATCCTGAAGTAGCCTCTTTATTTAATAGTAATTATGTTTTTAAAAAGGTTATTTTGGGAGAAAAGTGCTACTTCTTGGGAGAACGATGGATGATTGAATGAACAAAGCCGCAGTTGTCTGCTCGTTAGCAAATGTCCCTCCGATGATCAGACCTACACATTGTGGCTCACATCACTTGTAATGAAAGCGCCCTTTCTTTCAGTTTTATTTTTTGGTCTTCACAATATGGCAAAGGAGCTGCGGACTCAAACACTTGAAAACCTGGTGAGCACTATGAATATAAAACACACAGCTATCAGAGATTATTAGCCTCCTCTTTGAAAGAAAACACTGCAAGAGCCACAGTCACGAACAATAGAGCCAGAGAAAGGTAAACACTGTTGGTAGTTACACGCTACGCGACAAAGCTACGAGGAAGACGGCAAGTGTCCTTGATCAAGGGAGCGACTACTCAGTCACGCTTTTTGGGGGGGGGGGGGGGG